ACCATGGCGGGTGCAATCTCGCTGATGATCCTTAAACCTAGTCCAGGCGTTTCTGAAAGATTCTCGTGGGCCTTGAAGGAATGTGGAGAGTTTATGTCTCGCGTCCCAGTATCGAGTCTCATCGAAGAATTGGTTAATAAAAGCAGTGCGAATATCTTTCTAGCAGGTTAAGGTTCTCGCTGGTATTTGATTTAACCAATTTATGGCTTCCCTTCCTAAGGAAAAAGGGAACAATCTACAATGATTAATATCGCTGAGTGCCAATTCTTCTAGGAAATTGATATGCTCGTGGGAATGCTCTGAGGCAGAACCATGGAACGGTTTTTCTTGTACCAGGTGGATGTAATCAAAATGAAGTATAGATTTTTTTGCTTCATCCTCTGGTAACTTAATAGCTGACCTATTAGAATAGGTCTTAATGGGGTCTAAGTAGTCTTGCAGTTTTTCTACATCTTCGTTTGAAGATGGATGACAATTGACAGTGATTGCAGTCCCCTGTTTAACTGTAAATTTATTTGTTTCATTGCATATCTGACCAAATGGTTCGTTTTGGACTACTTCCTCATTAACAAGATTGGTAAGTGAAGACTTACCTGCTTCCGTCTGGGTTTCATCGATCGATGTCGGTTGGTTTATGTCGATCGATTCCTCGGTCAACATATCGTTCGATTTGTGCGTCACATCATCGGTCGATTCCTTGGACAACATATCGCTCGATGTGTGTATTACATCATCGGTCGATGCTTGGCCGAAATCTGTCTTTTCCATCTTGAGTTCCCTATGATAGCAGAGAAAAAGGAAAAGGAATTACATAAACGAAAATAAAATCTAGACTATATTATAAACTAAATCTGATGGTAATAAGAAAGATTCCCCGGCGACGGCGCCAAATTTGATATCACTCAAACTACCCTAGGAGTGAATTACTCTCATCAAAAGAGGTTCACTTGTAGTACTTAGGGATCGAATCCACATAGACTCTAGGATTACACAACAGATTATTTAGTTTTCGAAGTAAAGCTAGATAGCAAGTTTTAAACAATAACTTAAAAAGGTAACCAAGCGATTGCTTGATTGATTGGTTTGTTTGTTAAGAGGAAAGAAGGTAGTTAAACTTAGGTATTTTCTCAGGTGTGACAAACATGCAAGTTATAAAGGGTTTTTATTATTCATAGTTATGGATTCAAACTCTTACGAATTTGAAGAATTAACTCTTACTGGATCTCAGGTGTGACCTTGAGTAAATATTGATCGATAGTTCGATAGAAATATCGATCGATGTTGTTATGCTATATCGTCGATAAGACGGTTATCTCATCGATCGATATTGCATCCAGCGAGTTCTAATGGCAGTTTTGAAAGGGTTCTCTAGTCTTCAATAAATAACTTAGACTCTAGGTATTTGCTAAGTTCTCACTTATACAATTTGATCCAAAAATCAGAGGTAAGGGTGATCAATCCTTAACACTAGTATTTGTGATGACTAGATTTAGAACTATATTTTAAACACCCTAATAATGATTACTTCAATGCATGAGTCAACCCTAAGGAGAAACCTAAATCTAACAAGAGAGACTACTCAAACATATTTATGAGAGACAAAGTCATAATGGTTTGAATAATGCTTTAAGATAATAATAATAATAATAATAATAATAATAACAATAATAATAATAATAATAATAATAATAATAATAATAATAATAATAATAATAATAATAATAATAATAATAATAATAATAATAATAATAATAATAATAATAATAATAAGAGAATCAATAAGTAAAGCAAGGGAGTTCAAGATCTTCTCTGGATTGTAGTTGAGATCTCTCTCTCAATTCCTAAGCTCTTCTTCAAAGTATGGATAAATGCTTCTCTCTAAATTAGGTCTAAAAGTCTCTGGAGAAGTCTGCTTAAACTAGTACAAAATCCTCTTAATATAGCCTAACAGGCGGCCAGGTACTTAAGGTGTAAATTATTAAAACTCTTGTGAAACAATTAGGACTTCTAATCTTTATTTAATCGCTTTGGAGGACTTATGTATCGATCGATATAGAATGTTTTCTATCGATCGATTTGTGTGATCTTTCATCGGTCGATTGCTCTTAATGCGCATCGATCGATGTCTTCTACACGTTTTGCTCATATCTTCATAAAGTCTCCATTTTTGCTCCATAATGGTCATTTTACACCAGTGAGTACCTAAACCTGTAAAAGCTCTAAAAAGACATTAAAAGTATCCTTTTGTTTCCAAAAACATATATAAATCATGGTTAAAAGTGGGTAAAATCCATGATATATCAGTCTCCGGAGAGACGTCTAGGATCCGTCGGTTTTCAAGCATTGATGGGTTTCTTGGTTACGATGTTGCTTTGGTGAGTCCGAATGAAATCATTGGCTTGGATCAGTGTGTTGTTGTAGTTGGACTAACTGGTTTTAGGATCCATTGTGATATGACTGGTCTTTGATCAGACTCTTGTGTTAGAGATGAATTTTTATCGTCTCTACACTAATGGTGCCAAATTGTAGGAACTAAAATCCGCATTCAGAATTTTAATATGAATAGAATAGATCTAAGAAACATGGGAAATGACTATAAGTAAATTAATATCTAAAATAGTTTGTTAAAACTGGACTTAGTATCATTGATAGTAAATATGGTGAATACAAAGAACAATTTACTAGATAACAAAATTCGAAAGAGAGTATTCTTAGATCTAGGCGAGTAGGTCAAAAAGCATATAATGATGATTTTATTGTAGAAAGTATTACACCATAGAGCAGTTTCAAGTTTATTATTACACTTTAAGGCACTTCTTGCTACTAAAGTAGTTTTTTTCAACTAAGCACACTTCTCGTTAGGTTCACTAACTAAAACGAAATCATTTATTATTTTTTATCATTAGTGGATCTTTATTTTCTTATCTCTTCTCCTTTATCAGATCTGAAACGCCGATTTTATCTTCCTCTTCTTCCTTATTTATATTGTATCAAATAATTTGCTTATTTTCTCCCACCACCACAACATTCTTACCTCTTTGTCATCGTCTTGTAGATTTCTTCATACTCAGAAGCAAACAGGGGGATTCTTGTTAAAATCCGCCACCAACACAAAAGCCCCTTTGAAGCTAAATCCTCCGTATCAGTCAGCTTCAGTATACCGTGAGATTTTCAGGGATCAGAACCCTTACAAATGGATTGTCTTTGGAGGTAAACAAGTTCATAGTCAATTTCTATGTGTAGTTTTGGTATACAAAACTTAGATTCTCCATAATTACATTTTTTAGGAGTAAGCTAAGAGGCTGAGGAACCCCCAAATTTCCTGCAAAATTTGTAACCCTAAAATGCTCATGAAGAAGACGAAATAATTACAATAATGCCATTAATAAATTAATATTTAAAAGTGTACACACGACTATGATGTACACGTGTACGCGATACATAACGTACACAACTAAATTGTACACAAAATAATAATAATTTTATCTTTGATGTACATGTGTGTACATCTAGTGTTCATGTGATTTGTATTAGAATCATTACTTGTGCAGTGTACAAAAAAAATTAGTGTACATGTGATTTTCTATTGATAATGTACATACTAAATATGCATAACCATTTGTTCTTATTGATGATGGTGAAAATGTACATGAATGTGGAAATGTACACGTGTGTACATCTCTAGTGCTCATGTGGTTTTATAAGAATCATACCTTGTGCAGTGACAAAAGGACTAGTGTATATGTGATTTTCTATATAACATTGTATATGTGGACATGTGATTTTTATAAAAGAGCTAGTATACATGTGAACTAAATGTAAATGTGATTTTATAAAAGAACTAGTGTACATGTGATTTTTTATAAAATCATTAGATATCATAACTTCCTTTGTAGATGGATTTGTGAGCATCAATGCTTTGTTTGGATTCAAGCACCAGAAAATATCAGAGTATACAAAAGATACATCCTCTTGTTGGAGAAACAATGTATAGCGTTTAGAACTCGAGACCCAAAAAAAAAGTTTCAATTTTTAACTTTGGATAAATTATATCCAAATTGCCTCAGCTCTTCTCCACCAAATATTTACCCGCTGGTTTCCTAATCTTCTATGCCGTGATGCCGCCGTATCCTTCGTCGGCTTGGTTGAACTTCCGATCATCGTAAAGAGAAGTTTCATTAACATCGAAGAATACAAATTTGTGGTCGAAAATTAAAAGCAATTATCTATTTTCTAACATGTAAGTACTCTTTTATTGGGTCCATTCCTACAATTTTAAATTCATAAAAGAAACGTAACTAGAAAGTCTAAAATCCTTTTTCCCATTTTGTCCCACTAATTACATTTTTTTAGGGACAAGTTGAGACTTTTCACTAAAAAAACTAAATATGTAGCTATAACTGCCTCATTAAGTAATAAAAACTTGAAAACTGTACTACAGTATTATAAACTCTTTATTGTATTCCTTAGCTCGTTCCAACTACTTTCGGTATCTAGGAAGTACATGTAATGTCTTGCTTCATAAATCTCGGTTTGTTGATCAACCGATTGACCGCGAGGTGACTGGGTTTTGATGTTACCATAAACTCGTGGTCGATACGTCGAGCTGTGAAATAGTCCTTTGGGCCAGAATAAATGAGCGTCGCCTATGTATTATATCTTCATTGTCAATTTAGTCTGTTTAGGTGTGGACTTTTACTGAGTCAGATTTATGTAATATATCATGTTCTAACACGAATATTGCAAAAAAATAAAAAAAATTATGTCAATTTATTATTGGCGTAGACTTTTTATCATTAAAATATATATATATAATTTAATAGTGGATTAAACAAGCTCTTGTCTTTAATATCTCACCAATAAAATTCAATTTATTATTGGCGTAGACTTTTTATCATTAAAATATATATATAATTTAATAGTGGATTAAACAAGCTCTTGTCTTTAATATCTCACCAATAATAAATACTTAGTCTTCGTCTGAAGAAGAGAGCAACCCGAAAAAAAATAAAACACAACAAAAGAAAAGAGAAAGAGAAACACTAACTAGAGACGATGAAGGTTGAAACTATCGGTAAAGAAATCATAAAGCCGTCTACAACAACTCCAAATGATCTCCGAACTCTCCAACTCTCTATTCATGATCACATGATCTCTCCCGTTTACACCACCGCCTTTCTTTTTTACACTAAAGATGACTTGACCTCGCAGGATCACATTTCCCACAAACTCAAGACTTCTCTATCCGAAACCTTGACAAGATTCCACCCTTTTGCCGGCAGAATCAACGGAGTAACCGTCGACTGTAACGACGAAGGAGCCGTCTTTGTCGAGGCACGTGTTGATGACTGTACTCTCTCTGGATTTATCAGATCTCCAGATTTCGAATCCCTGAAACTATTGCTTCCTCTAGACCCCGACGCTACACCTACATGGCCTTTGCTGCTAGTGAAGTCGACCTACTTCCAATGCGGCGGTATGGCCATTGCAATCTGTATCTCCCACAAACTCGCCGATGCAACCTCTCTATCGATTTTCGTTCGGTCTTGGACTGCCACGGCTCGAGGAGAGAGTGACTTGGAGACGATTCCCGAGTTCGCTGGAGCAAAGCTCTACCCACCAGCCAATGAGGCCTTTAAAATTCCGGTAGATGTTCAAGCCGATAAGGGAACACCTGTCACAAAAAGATTCGTATTTGTAGCATCTAAAATCGAAGAGCTCAGGGTCAAAGCAGCTAGTGACGCAGTGCCTCGACCCACTCGGGTCCAAAGCGTGACATCCCTTATCTGGAGATGCGTGGCTGCGTCGTCAGACACATCTCGTGAGAAAGTGTTGGTCCAGCCCGCTAACTTGCGACCCAAGATACCTTCTCTCTCGTCCGGAAACGTAATTGGTAACCTCTTCTTCTCCACAGTGACCTTTAACGGAAAAGGCGAGGTCCAGATATCAGAAACAGTTAAAGAGTTACAGGAAAGGGCAAAGGAGTTTGCCCTTTTGGTCCAAGGCGAAGAAGGATCAATAGGCACGAAACTGGTTGGTCAAATAATGGGTTATGCTTCCAAGTTGAGCAGCAAGAATCAAGACATACACCCCGTGACTAGCTGGTGCAAGCTTCAGTTTTATGATGCTGATTTTGGATGGGGATCGCCGGTTTGGGTTGCCGGGAATGTGGTTTTGTCGTCACACAATAAAACGGTGCTTATCGATTCAAAGGACGGACAAGGAATCGAAGCGTGGGTGACACTACATCAAGAGGCTATGTTGCTGTTTGAGCAGAACCCGGATCTGCTTGCTTTTGCTTCCCCAAATGCTTAATTTTAATGCAAGCAAAGGTTTACCAGACTGTTATCCACTGTTACTTGTTTTCATGATTTTCTGTAATTCTGCTATTTATATCAATTCTTAATTGTATTTTTGTATTATGTGACAATGGATACAGTAATAAATGAACTCTGCAAATCACATGTTTTCATAATATGACTAAGAAGTTAATTTGATATTATTTTAATCATATGATAGTATATTAATATACTACATTTGATTTTCACTATTTGACTATATTCTATTAAAATGAATAGCTATTAAAGTTTGTAATTAGTTCTTCTATTCAAAACGGGGAATAGTGTAAACTCAGCTTAAAACATAATATTCTGTACATAATTCTTATAGAAATATTTTCTTACTTATAATTGACTAAATGCAGTTATAAATGCTAATTTTCCCCTAAATTTCATAATCCTCCTGTTTTATTCCTTTACTAGATTTTGATCCGCGTTTAAAAGCGCGGAAACTTTTTATGATTAAAAATTTAGATAATTGGGGTTTTGTCTTAATTTAAAGAATGTTTTAGTATAAAATCAGTTCACCAAAATTTGTGGTGATGATTGTTTTTCATTAGTTTTTAGTTTCAATTTTTATTTTTAGATTTTGTTTTAGATTTTGATTTTTTGGGTTTTAATTTTTAACTTTCTATTTTTGATTTCAGCTTTTGGTTTGAATTTTTAATTTTTAGATCCGCTGAGTTAGTTTGAACTGAAATTACCGATTTTTTTTATGATTAAAAATTTATATAATTGGGGTTTTGTCTTAATTTAAAGAATGTTTTGGTATAAAATCAGTTCACCAAAATTTGTGGTGATGATTGTTTTTCATTAGTTTTTAGTTTCAATTTTTATTTTTAAGTTTCTATTTTTGATTTCAGCTTTTTGTTTGGGTTTTTAATTTTTAGATACGCTGAGTTAGTTTGAACTCATATTACCAACAAACAAATCTCAGTTTATCGAACATGTAATTTAAAACTGAAAAGATGACAAAATAATTTTCTAAAAATTTTGAAATAGTTTATTTTGTAATAAAAAAAGCAAAAAATATAATTCAAGCGCATAAATTTTTTATGATTAAAAATTTATGTAATTGGGTTTTATCTTAATTTAAAAAAATGTTTTGGGATAAAATGAGTTCACCAAAATTTGTGATGACAGTTGTTTTTCATTAATTTTTAGTTTCAGTTTTAAATTTTGGTTTTTGGTTTTTAGTTTTTAAGTTTCTATTTTTGATTTTTAGCTTTTGGTTTGGGTTTTTAATTTTTAGACCTGCTAAGTTAGTTTGAACTGATATTACCAACAAACAAATCTCAATTAATCGAACATGTAATTTAAAACTGAAAAGATGACAAAATAATTTTCTAAAAATTTTGAAATAGTTTATTTTGTAATAAAAAAAAACAAAAAATATAACCTGCATTTTCAGCTTTTGGTTTTGGATTTTAGTTTTTAGATTTGGTTTTTGGTTTTGCTTTACATTTGTTTTAAATCTGTAAATTATTTAAGAAAGGTAAAATAATAAATTATTTAAAAGTTACCATTAAAATTTATCAAGATAATGTGATTGTTATTTAAAATAAAAAATATTAACATGTTTTAAAGTACATGATTTAAATAAGTGATTAATAATAGATAATTTTGTTTTGTTGAAAATATTAAATATTTTTGGGCCTGAAAATAGTAATTGATTTTTGATCCATTAAGGTGGAAAGTTTATTTAATGTTTTTTGGAGTTTTTCTTTAATACTAAGCCCAAAAAAATGTCATAAAAACAAAAGTAAGCCCAAACTCTATTCTATGAATAACCGCCGGTTTAATTTAAGTAATGCGGTTCAATCAACTATATAACTTGTATTATTTGTAACACTCTAGAAAGAGTCCAAATTTAAATGACAACTTGTATCAGTAGATAAAAAAATGACTCTATTTTAATAGAATAGAAGTGTCATTTTACATTTATACATACAGATCAAGAAAATATTTAATTTTTGTATATTTTTTAAAACAATAACATTATTAACTATATGTTAACCATATTTCAATAAAAAAAATAAACTGAAAAATAAAGAATCACATAGCATATAAAATTTATAAATTTTAACTATATTTTAATCAATAGAAAAATAGGCTGAAGAAATAAAGAATCACATAGCATATAAAATTAAGAAATTTTAACTATATATCAATCAATAGAAAAAACTGAAGAAATAAAGAATCACATAACTTGTAAAATTAATAAATTTTACAAATTGTAATTATAAACAATATTTATTTTTAATAAAAATTTTACTCTACAACGACACATAATATAAAATTGAGGAAGTATTTGTCTGACTAGTGTTGATTATCACATTTATGGCGTAAATATCTTTTTGTCTAAAATTAAACTAAAATATTGACTTTGATATCTATTCTAATAAAATCCACCAATTTTATTTTAGACAATATTAAATATGTTTATTATAGAAAAAAAAATAGATTTACAAATAGAATAAAAAAATTTCATACTAATTGATTTTTATTAAATTAAAACTTTTTCATCTAATTACATACTTTCAAAACACCGATAAAAACCTAGTTCACTCTACAAAATTAGTTTACACTTAATAAAAATAATTTCCACATAAGACATGAACTCACCATCTGTTTTCAATCTTAAGGAATTTTAACAATATCTGGCTGGAACATTTTTCCCCGAACAAATTGAATGACTACTAAACTGTAATTATTAGACCTTAAGTTCAACTGTTTCCAAATTTGCTTAGGTCTATTAATATATGTAGAATTAATCGAGGGTAAAAAATTAGAATTGTTGGGATAAAATAGGATCTCGTTTTGCAGATTGTTTTTTTTTTTAATATGATAACCCTTCTAATTTAATATGGTATCATAGTCCACGATCTTCGCAACCGATTCATTATCGATCTGTGCCCAAAGTTGGTCCATAAATCTTTGTCCTAATATTCCGAGATGACGCTCAAAGAACCATCATTTAGAAATAGCGTATTAGACACAAAGTGCTCTACATCGGTAGTTGAAAGAGATTCCTAGTAGTATATAAGACATATTGATCAGTTCCCTTATCACCAATTGACCAATTGGTTTTAAGTTGAAAATCCATCTAGCTTTTTAACTTTAAGTTGTCATACATTCAAAAAAAATTATGTGTTTACAATCTATGATGAGAAAAAGAAAAAATAATTTTGGAAAAAGAGAATAAAGAGAGATAGAAAGAGAAATGAGAAAAGATAATGTTATTTTGTGTAGTGGGTGAACTTTAGTTTTTTTTTAAAGTGTTAGTGGGACATATTTCCCAAATTGTCAAAAGAAGTGAGACAAATCTATACTATTAAAACACAAAAAAATTTTTAAAGTGTCATTCTCTTTTATAAGTATGTACAATCAAACGCCATTGAAACATTTTAAAGCTATGCTTTTTATTAAATGTTTTATTTGTTTATTCAAAAATCGCCACTTAACCATCTCCTAATTTTGTGGAACCTTTTCCACTTCTTTATTTAATTTACTATGGATAAACATACTTATAATATCTATCTATACTATTAAAATAGAATCCTTAATAGGATTCTGCCCATGATTTTTCAAGCTAATTACAATCTTCTGCTATTCTCTATTTTTTTCAAAAAAAAATATATGTCGACCCCAATTTTTGACCAATCATAACTCTCCCATTTTTTAGACATAAGAATAACGTACGGAACCTATTTAAAGCGAACCAAATTCGGCCCAGTTCCGAGTAAGGCCCTGCCTTTTTAAAGCCAGATGTCCAGCCCATCGAAATCATCTCTATTATTAAACCTATACCCTGAAATAAAAAGGTTTATGGATTAAAATTCTAAACAAATGTATACTTATAGAAATATAAATTAATGTTCAAATGCTTATTTTTAGTTCATTCCATATACCTATACGTTATTTAAAATTTTTTTTTTATGAAAATGTAATGTATAGTTAATAAATCTTTAATCAAGAAAAAATGAAAATCGAATTTGAACCAAAAGTATTACAGTAAATATAAATAAAGTTCATAAATATATTTTAAAAATCTATTTATCGTGTAAAGAACAGTAATTTATATATAGCTTGGATACCAAATCTATTTGAAGTATATTCTTTAACTTATTCCATAGTTTTTGTTTTCAATTTTAAAAACCATTAGGTACTCCTAGATTTTTGGCGAGTATTCATAATATTTGCTATTTGATACCTATAATAAATGTAAAAAAAAAATAGAAAAAGGAGTATTATACGATTGAACTATAATCAAGGTTCAAAAGATTAAATCTAATCATATTACGTGCCTAACACACACAAAATATCTTGGTTTCAAATTGGTAACTGAATTTTCCCAATATTAAGTAGAAGATCTCGTGAGATTTAGAGTATGCCACAAGTTTTTCCTATCGCTTCTTCGTATTATAAATAACAACGCATCTTCCTAATTAAACTCACACCGTCAAACAAACAAATGACTCCTAAAATGCAAATCAAAACAGGTGCTTCTGATGAAAAAGTCACCGCCATTAAAGACTCGATGCCATGTAAAAGACACTTTGGTCTGTCCATGTGAAGGTTGTACACTCTTGAAACAAAACATTCAACTTCAGAGGAAACCATGGAATTTATCTTTGCGGATGAGAACGTAAGCAATCATAACTTTCTACTTATGTTTTTCAATTATGTTTTCTTTGTCTTTTATATCTTATTTAAACTTGCGATTAATGATATATATATTTTCAATGTAACTGTAACATATATAAGGGGCATAAAGTTCATGAAACATGTAAAAAAAATTAAATTGAAAGTAAAGGAAAGCTTCTTCCGTTTGGAGTATGGTGCAAAATCTGGAATTTTCAAATTAATCTGCAGGAGCTTATCGATCAACCAGCTATACCTAAAAGTTCATTTTTAATCAAAATAAAGTCACTAGATCCAGTCACATGAATGATGAGTTGTATCTTAATCTGCCGACTTTAAAATGTTTTTTTTTTCTAGAACACTTGCTGAAAATCTCTTAACTGGTAAATAGAAAGGCGTAGTGGTTACAAAATATCTATCCTTGCTATCAATACGAACCTTTACAATGTTTGTCCATGGCAGATGTGTTGGGCCAGGTTTTGGATTGTG